GGCAATGAAATTAAAAACATAGAAAAAAAGACTAAAAATTGTAGAAGAGAAAAGAAACAAAAGGAATTCGGCCATTTATTTAAACTTTCTCGGAATTTTATTTTGGGGATCTTACGGTTAATTTACTATTTCCAACAATAGAAATTAGGGAAGAGAAGAATGATAAAAAATGATGAAAGGGACGGTAACCCATTATTATTAGGAGGTTGGCCTAACTTCGCCTCGATTACCCGCCGTTAGCTCTGACCCCAGATTGAACATTTTCCCCGGATTTTAACATTGTTCAATACTGCCGATGACCGATGTTCCCTGCGTCACTTTCGCTGGTTTGCTTGATTACTAACACTACCGTTGTTGGGACGTTCTGAGAGCGGGAGACGCATGGGCAGGTGCTACCTTGGGTCGACCATGGTGTTTGGTTCGGTACGGATATGAGGCTTGTTACGGAGTGGCTACGTCCTACGGTGTCTGACGTGCTTCAGGTACGGTATGGGCTTGGTGACACCTGTTTCACTACGGTGACTTATTTCCAGGTTTGGGACCTTGGCGGCAGTTTGTTTTCAGGTCCGGAGACGTTGCGGTGTCCTATATCAGGTTCGGGACAGATACGGAATTATCATGGCATGGTTGTACGGGTTCGGCGTCCGCGTGGCACAGCAGCCCGGTATTGGATTTCGGGTTTGATCAGGATTGGTGGCATCGCGTTGTTTCGTTTCAGGATCGACGCCCTCACGGCGATCTATTTCAGGTTCGGGACCTCTGTGGTGATTTACCTTAAGGTCTGGAGCCACTATGACGATGTATTTCAGGTTCGGGATCCTAGTGGTAATTTATTTTCAAGTTCGGCGGTGATTTTTTTTCAGCTCCGGCACCGCTGCGGCATTTTATTATCCGGATTCGGCACCCTCACGGTGGTATGTGTCAGGTTCGGTGCCATTGAGATAATTTATTGGGGACACTGTGGCGACTTATTTCAGGTACGCCGCTGCCACGACGGCTTATTTCAGGTTCTGCGGCTTCGGGACGATTTATTTTCAAGTCTGGAGACTGCCGCGGTGGTCTGTCTCAGGCCCGGAACCTGGACGGCAGGTTATTCCAGGTTCGGTGCTATCACAGGTAATTAACTCAGGCTCGGCACCATCACTGCGGCCATCTATACCCGGTTTGGTACCACGACGCCCAGTTGTCGACCCGAGGACGGTGCTCACGTACCACCCGTAATGAACCTGTGCTGGGCCTGGTACCGACGGTCTCGGCAGTACAAGCAAATGTGGAATGAATATAGGGGGGAACAGAGGAGAGATCGGGGACGGTATGCAAGGTGTACCTGGCGCCCAGTATAGTGGGATACTGGCAGGTCAACACGTTGAAGCGCAAGCAACCACGGGGGAACAGTGTGCAAGGAGTACCCGCAATACCTGGCTCAGGGCGGAAGCATCGAGGGGCAGACTGATGCACGGGGGATGAGGAGAGAGGACTGAGGGATTGCATGGGAGGTGTGCCCGGCGTCAAGGAGTTGCAGAGTGGGAGGCAAGCACGAGGGAGACGAGTCGGCGCTCAGGCGGTTACTCGCGTGTGAAAGGAAGAGTGAGAGAGAAGGGGACTGCACA